AGTTAGACAAGAGAATGCACGCGGCGCAACATAATTGGGTCAATCTATGTGGTGCAACATATGTTGTGCACTCTACACGGTGCAATCGATGCTGTGCAATCCATGTGGTGCGATTTATGCGGTGCAAGTTACGTGTTGCAATTTAAGTGGTGCAGTCTACGTGGTGCATTTGTTGTAGATTATATGCGAAACAATCTATGTTGTGCATTCAATTTTTGACCGTCTTGAAGCTCTTCTTTTCCACCCGCAACTCGAGACCTCTTAAGACAAGACCGTGACGGTACGTACCACGTGACAGTTGGCCACGACACCGACGCCGACGACGACAGCGACAACGACGACGACGGCGCCGCCGACACCGACTACGACGACACCGACGACGTCTCCAACGACTTCGACGACGACAACGACGACATCGACGACGACGACGACGACGTCAACGACGCCGACGACGACGACGATGACGACGGCGACTACGACGACACCGACGACGTCTCCGACGATTTCGACGACGACAACGACGCCGACGCCGACGACGACGAAGACGACGACGACGTCGCCAACGAAGACGACGACGAGGGAGGAGGAAGGACGACGGCGGCGACAACGACGACAACGACGACAACGACGAGGGAGGAGGCAGGACGGCGACGACGCGAACGACGAAGAAAGAGGAAGGACGGCGGCGTCGACGACGACAACGACGAGGGAGGAGGGAAGACGACGACGACAACGGCGACGAAATAGGAGGGACGACGACGAGACGCCGACGACGGACGACGACGACGACGACGAGGGAGGAGGGGCAAGGACGACACGGCAACAATGACGACGGAAACGACCACGACGCCAAAGAGGACGACGACGACGAACACGAGGAAAGACAGAGGACGACGTAGGCGACGACGGCGACGACGACGACGCGGGAGGAGGGAGGACGGTGACGACGACGACGACGACGCAAAAGCGCGCGCGCACGCTTTTGTTGAAAATCCGTGTTGCGAAACACTGTGCTTTTGTAGGTTTTTTGGACACGATTTTGACATCCTTCCGAAACCGACGCGTTTTGAAGGATTTCGGCATACGCGCGCGACGACGCGCGCGTCTGCACTTCGTCTTTTTTGTTGCAGAGGGTTCTCACGACGGCACACGCGCAAGGGCGTTCGACAGATTTCGACATGCGCGCGCGAAGCCCGTTTAATAGCATTTCGTGAAAATCTTGAAAAAGCGATGGTTGTCTTAAGATTTCGCAAGAGCTCGCGCGGAAGCTTTTTAGCAAATCAGTGTTGCGAAAACCTGTGTTTCTGTATGTTTTTTTGGAAAGTCGATTGCGAAATCCTTCGGGCACCGACGGTTTTTGAAGGATTCCGGCATGCGCGCGCGACGACGCGCGCGTGTGCACTTCGTCCCATTTATTGCAAGGGATGCGTGACAAAGTGTTATGTTAGAACAAAAAAATGTCACCGCATAGTGTTTTTTTTACAAGGGACCCTCAGGGGGGGATACCAGCCTCCCTGGGATAGTGTAAATTCATAGTTAGGATGGACATGTGTCAGAATCGTATGTGATTTACATACCCGAAAGGGGAACCGAAAACGCCGGGGGGAGGGGGTAGTTCCTATTTTGTTTTTGGAAAGGAGAATCCAAGGCGGCGACGAAGCGGCGACGGGTCGGCGACGGCGGCCACGTTACCGCCAGACCGAAGACACGGCCAGGACGACGGGCGGTGACGAGGCGGCGACGGGGCGGCGACGGCGGCCACACAGCCGCCAGATCGAACGAAGACACGGCCCAGTTCCCCAGAATAGAAATACGAACCTCTAAGCGCAAGCGCTGTTTGTGAAATGGCTCCTCCCTGTCGCGCCCCGAGACGTGTCGGTAGGGCGGGTTGGGTTTCGCCCGAGACCCCCTTCACAATTCCTGATATTTCAGTTTAGAATTTGCAGCAGCTTCACATATGGAGGGCGGGTGGTTTTTAAAGTGCTGCTTTCGCCTTAGCTTCGCGTGCATTCGCCTTTAACGTTCGCAAGAGTTTCACGGACGGAGGGCGGGTGGTGTAATGTGGCTCTCGCATTCGTTTCGCGCACATTCGTTTTACAAGCTTGCAACCGTTTCGCGGTTGGAGGGCGGATCTTTTTCAAAATGTGGCGCTCGCCCGAGCTGCAAGAGCTTCTTGGATGGAGGGCGGCTCCTTTTCAAGACGTGGCTCTCGCTTTAGCGCCGCGCACACAACACTCGTCTGCAGAGCTTGCCGACATTCCAGGGATGCTTATGGTTGACATTCCAGAAATAGTGTTTTTGCAATATGTAGGATTGTCATGGCGAAGCAGATACGTCGATTCGCGGTGTTGAAGTCCCAGGAATGGTGTGCTGGCGCGATTCAGGTTCGCCAGGACGCAGTCGTAACGTTGATTCGCGGCGTTGAAATCCAAGGAATGGTGTTCTGGCACGGTTCATGAATTTGAGACTGTTGTCTTCCAGTGGGGAACTTCCTTCAGTGAACATCAATCTTTGTAGGGATTTATGAAGACGGAACTTGGAGGGAGGGTTTATTGCAACATCTTTGACTTACTTGGGTTTACACTGGTCCTCCTCCTCCTCCTCCTCCTCCTCCATCTCCCCCTCCTCCTCAGGGAGGCAGGCCAGGTTGGGGCTCCTCTCTTGTGTGGGGGCTGGTGCGATTCGACTTCGGCGCCGTGCCGAAGCAGCCCAGTCTGGCGCGCGTTCCGGTCCAGCCAGGTTTCCCCCTGGCCAGGGGGCCATGGGAGCAGCAGGTGAGGGCGAACGAGCGACGACGCAAAGAGGGCTCTAGGCCAGCGGCCCGTGCCCCGAGGCTTTGGGCCAGGGTGCCATCGGGGGAGCGTGTGCACATGTGAGCGACGCAACAAAACGAGGTCGTCTTCGCCGGGGGGCGGAGGAGGAGGGGGGAAAGGGGGGAGAGGGGCTCAACATTGAAACATCACCCGATTCACCCGAATTGCGGAAAGGGGCAATGACTCACTCCTATGCCGCTGTCGGACGCGGTGGCGGATAAGGGGCAATGCTTGCAGCGCGTTGACCCCCTCAAGTTGCTGGCGCATGAGCAGGCCGTCCATGTTGGGGTTCATCGTGACGCACTTGTTCTGGCCAGCCTTGCTGCCGTAATGGCTGCTGTTGCGGTGGCTGCGCGTCAGGGGTGCGGTGCGGCGCGGAAAGTGCAACTGGCTGATAGCCCCTTCGGTTGAGTGTTGGCAGCCGTCGGCCGCTTGCGTGGCGGCTGATCTGACCGAGTGACGTCTATTGTTTCAGGCAGGCCACACAGCAACGGGTCTTGCCGCACACAGGGCGCTCCGCCTTACCCTGACTTCCTCTCTGCGCTTTGGTATCGTAGTTGGTTCTCCTGAGACCATTGTCCTGTTGCCACCCTCAAGGAAGGGCGGGGGCAGCAGCGCTTGCCGGTCCTTGCTGTCACCGAGCAGCGTGCGGCAGTGCGGTCGCTGCCAACCGGACATTCGGATTGACGGCTCATAGGAGGTATTTGCTTGCGCCATCGTTTCCGCAGAAGGTATCACATCAGTCGAGCCTTGCACGTGGAAGAACTTCTTGCCGCTTCGCGTACCCCTACCAGCCCTCTCTGGGCTTCTTCGTGACCACTGGCAGTTGCTTCGGCTGCAGCTGGTAAACGGCAGCACAGCTTTCCCAGAGCGCCATCTTCTTACACTCACCCCGGTACGCCAGGGTACCAAGGATAGGCGTGGCTCTGTGCATGCTTGTCACGTTAGATGCTCCCTGGTACGCGTTCCTGCTCTTATCTTTGGTCGCTAGTCGCCTGCGACTTGTGCCTGGTAGAAGATCGGGACAGTTGTACCTTCCGCATAGCGCCACATCATGTTACCTGATGGCTCGCTTGCGGACGCATCTCTGTTCGCGGTTGTCTTTCCGGTCCTGACGTGCCTTGCTCGGTTACAGACACCACGAACTTCGCGCCTTTTGGCTGCGTTGGTGCGTACTCTGAAGCTGCGACGTTTCGCTGGCGCTGTCAGAGTCCCACCTCTCCCCTCGGTTTGCAGTCAGGCGACAGCGTGCGTGTCTCTCTGACGCCTCTGCTTGAGCATGGTTCAGACACCCTGGGACTCTATGGTACACCATTCGCTGCGCCGAGGTTGGCAAGCTCCATACTTCGATAGTGTCTCAAGCGGCGTACTGCTGGGCCATGGTCTCAGACACCTTGGGGTTATTTGCATCGCGCCACTTTGGCAGCGTAGTTGCAGACTCCCTGGGTGCTGGTACCTGGGCGTCAGACACCCTGGGTTGCAGCACCTTTGCACCCGCCGCCCCGGCGCCGGCCGCGGCCCGCGCGCGCGTCCGGCCAATTAGTTTCGGCCGCAGCCCGACCGTTACTCGCCGCCGCTGGCGCTCCCGCCCGCGGCTGTTAAAAAAAAAACCGACCAGCCCATCCAGTAACGATATCCAGACGATGTGCACTGATCAGGGAAACGAGGCAGCGCATTTTCGAACAGGGTTGGCATGGAGACAGCAGTCAAACCGAAGCTTGAGTGCGTTTAGATGAACATGTATTGGAGCAGAGAGGGCAGCAGGTTCTTCCTTCAATGTCATGTGTGGTCAGATGAGCAGTAGCGGTGGTGAGCATAGTTCAGCCTACGATTATGCGATTTGCACCACACGAAGTCGTCAGGTGGTATTTTCGATTTCAGATCTTCTGCGGTATTTGCATATCCAGGCATCTGGTGCTATTTGTGTCCAGTCTTTGCATATTTTGCTTGCGAGTCTCTAGCGCTGAAAGTTGCAAGTCCTGGCTAGAGATGGGAGTATCCTTGCTGCAGCGGCGGTGAGCATAGCTGAGCACGCTGCAGTAACAATCAGTAACACAGTGCAACACATCATCGGGCGTTATATAGCGCACTTGCACATTTGCTTACCGTCCTCCTCCTCCAATCCCTCGTTTTCCTTCTCTCCCTCTCTTGCCCGTCTTCCTCTCTCCTCCTTTGCCTCCCAAAAAGGTCGAAGCCATCTACGGCTGGTGCGACATTCGCAACTTCGCCGTTGTTACGGAGGCCCAGCCCCGCCATGCCTCAGTCCCATGCGCGGATCCTGGGCCAGGCTGACTCCTTCCAGCTCCCTCAGGTCCCAAACTTCCTCGCGCTGTTGTCGGCTTATGGGGGCCCTCGAGTCCCAGGGCCGTCAAAGCCTGCCTCGGGATGAAAAGCTGGCCCTGGGGAAAGGATCGGGACTTCCGGGCACGTCGAATGTCTGCGGAGAGGAGGAGGATGAGGAGGAGGAGGAGGAGAACGACGAGGAGGAGGAGGAGAAGGAGGAGGAGCAGGAGGAGGAGGAGAAGGAGTAGGAGGAGGAGGAGGAGGAGGAGGAGTAGGAGAAGGAGAAAGAGGGGGAGGAGGAGAAGGAGGAGGAGGAGGAGGAGGAGGCGGAGAAGGTGGAGGAGGCGGAGGAGGAGGAGGAGAAGGAGGAGGAGGAGGATGAGGAAGAAGAGACATCCAAATAGTGCAAATAATAATAGTACGAGTAATACGGGTAAGATGAAGGACCATGGTACTACAAATGATGCTAATACAGCTCAGACGAATACTGTTAATATTTATTTCAAAATAGACTACTACTTCTAGTACTTATAGTACGGATGATCAGAAGACTGCTATTAACACTACAAATGCCAAGCATACGATGTATACTTGTAGCACTACTACGAGTACTAGTCGTAATACGAGTAACAGTAATAAGAGGACCACTGCTACTACGAATCTTATTAATACGCATACTTGTATTATTAATCATAAAGTCATCACTGCGATTAACCAGAAGACGCATCTTCAACATCGTAATACTAAGAGCAATACGAATAATAGTACCAAGAAGGCAAATAAGAAAGCAAGAGTAGGAGGAAGAGGAGGAGGCGGAAGAGGAGGAGGAGGAGGCTGAGGAGGAGGAAGAAGAGGAGGAGGAGGAGGAAGAGGAGGAGGAGGAGACTGTTTTTATCGAACCTGCCAAGGGGTTCCTGGTGCTCCTCCCTTGGGGGGACGGGGGGCTCAGACCTCCGACACAGTGTGTCCCTGGAAGTCTAGGCCTCTTCCCTGGGGACGGGCTTCTCATCCCGAGTCGGTTTTTGACGGTCCCAGGTTGACGATTTGCTTTTCTGCCGCGACGCGGAGGAGATCTTGGCCCAGGGGGGGTTGGGGGTCGGAGGGCGCCAACGAGAGTTACACCTACACCGATGCTGAGCAGGTCTACCCTGGGCCAGTGATTGGCCGAGCCAGGATGGCGCATACACCGCTCCTGGGTCCAGGACTGGCTTGGCGAGGAAGGGTCCGGGTGTCTAGCCCCATGCATGCGATCCGATGTGCTTTGCTTTAAATACGCGGCCCTGGAACTCCCGACCCCTTCCCCCGGGGTAGTTTTCCGTCCAGGATACATTTTTGATGGTCCCAGGGCCCGATCACGGGCCCCAGTGACCGAAATCTGGGAAAGCCGCCAGGATTGAAAAAGTCATACCGTCGGAGATCCGGGCAGTTGGTGCCCTCCGTCTGGCATCTTGGGCCCAGATCTGGAGATCTGGGCAGGCGGTGGATACGGGTACATGTGGCCTTCGGGGGGGGCACATGTTTTCTATATCCATCGCCTGCCGAGGTCCCCGAAGATCGATCCCCCAGGCGGTTGTTACGCATTATTTCCCGCCTCGCGCCCCTGCCTTCTCATGCCTCGTGGTTGTATCCATTTTCTTTACCTGCCTTCTCCGTTACATGGGAATGGACAACGCGCGAGCGAACGCGAGATAATCAGAGGAGCCCCCCAGCCAGCTCCAAGAAAGGACGCTAACCCGTGCACGAGGCCACGAATATTCAACCACCACGGCCCTACTTGTTTGCAACCGTCTCTCCTCTCCCTTTTACTCCCTCTTCTTTGCTCCCCACCGACAGTCGAGCCAAGACGCTGAGACAATGACCATTTTGGGTTGATGAGGTGCTCTGGTCTTCTGGGCCGTAGAGCCTCGTGGCCGCCAGCGGGGTCCTTCCTCGTATTCAGATTACCGCCCTTGCCAGCGGGATCGTACCGGCGGCCTGCGGCACGCACGCTTCCTCTCGCATCATCGCATGTCGCTCGCATCTTTGCTCCCTAAAGTTGAGGTTTGTGGCTCTATCATGGTTTGTTCCCATACCTCGCCCAGGTGCACGCTTTCCGTCAGGTCAGACGGGTGCACAGGAAGAGGGGTGTCTCGTTTCCGTGTACTTCCAACTGCTTTCCAGCTTCGGGATGTTTTCTAGCAGCTGCGCCTCGCGGAAGGCGTTCTGGGGGTACCCAAATCATCCCGCACGGACGCCTGAGGCCCGAGCCATCACCCGAAAGCCATATCTCTTCGCGTCGAGAACAAATCGCAACGAAAGGTCTGTCGAAAAGTTCGGTCTCTGGGGGTCCTTGCTAGGCCCAGGGACCGTCAAAAAACGACTCGGGATGAAAAGCAGGTCCCGGGAAAAGGGTGGAGATCTCCGGAGACGTCTAGGGAGATGTAAGATTCGAGATCGCTGGAGCTGGGGTCTGCCGACTCTTCCTGACTGGCCAGTCCTGAGTTTTGATGGTCTGGTTTTCGTGGGATGCGTGCAGCACGAGCTCGCGCCCAATTTCGGACCGAGCCTCGTCATTTTCCTGACGGCCTCGTCATCGGCACCACCCAAACATACTTCTACGATGTGTGTGTGTGTGTGTGTGTGTGTGTGTCCGCCCCGAATGGGTGACGCGCACGCTCGAACATCTCAAGGTATCAGCTCCGTGGCGGGCGCTTTCTGGCCATACCGCTCGGGAAGCGATACATGCATCCATATGTATATGTATATATATATATATATGCTGTACTTCTATGATCTGGTCGGACGCACGTGTCCATGACGGACACATGGTACTCGCATGTCCTTCTGCGCCCCACGCCAGGCCGACCCGAGACCCCCCAACCCAAGTCTTACAGTCAACCCGCACAGCAAGGATAGCAATGGCCTGAGGCTGCCCCCGCACCCTTCCCCCTCGGCCCATCCCCGGCCGCTTGCGCTGGCCTCGCGTCCGAGATTGTGAAGGCCTGACGGCCGATGCCGCCGACCCTGAAAGACATCAACGACGACAAGGAGGGGGAGGAGGGGGAGGAGGAGGAGGAGGAGGAGGAGGAGGAGGAGGAGGAGGAGGAGGAGGAAGAGGAGAATGAGGAGGAGGAGGAGGAGGAGGAGGAGGAGATGGAGGCGGAGATCAGGAGGAGATGGAGGCGGAGATCAGGAGGAGATGAAGGCGGAGATCAGGAGGAGGAGGAGGAGGAGGAGGAGGAGATCAGGAGGAGGAGGAGGAGGAGGAGGAGGAGGAGGGAAAGGACTCCCCCTTGGGACCCCCCCCCTCCCCTGGGGACAGAGATTTGCGCCGCGAGCCGCTCGCAACGCCGCAGGCCTGGGTGCCGCGACCCCGGCGGGCGCGGCCGGGCGAGTGCTCGCGCCAGCGAGGGCCTCGCCTGCGGCGCGCGGACCGCCTTCCTGGCGGCAGGGTGGGCGGAGGGCCGGCGCACGCCCGCGGAGGTGGCGCGTGGCGCGGCGGCGGGGTCCGCCGGCGGCAGGTCGGCGGAAGGCGGCGGGAAGCTGTTTTTGTTGACGCCGCGGCGCGGCAGAGGCGAGCCGCGCGCGCGTCGGGGGGCGAGACAGGGGCCGAAGGATCCCGCGTGCAAGAGTGGGGTAAGGAGGCGAGGGTGCGGCCGCGGAGGGAGGAACTGGGCGCGGGGGCACTCCTCACGCACGGTGGTAACGTGCGCGCCGTTTGTTTTTCGGGGGTGCACAGATTTTCTGGAGTCGGACATGTCCATAGCCACAGCTTGGGAGTCGTGCCCTATCGCTCCCTGGGGCCAGGGGGAGCGGTGCAACACGGGTACCTGCCTGCGCCGCTCCTGCGGGCGGGAAGGTATCCGTATCCACCGCTCTGCGGCGGCCCAGAAATGGACTGTAGAAGCTGTGGACACGAAGGCCTCTTGGCGGTGCAGGGAAGGGGATCGGGAGGAGGGGGGTGGGGGATGGGGAGGCGAAGGGGCAGGGAGCACTGTCCAGCAAACATCGGAGAATTTTGGAAAGGGCTGTGTGTGTTGGGGTCTTCGTGTGGGAGAACAAGTAGGCGGGGGTCGCCCGCAAGCGCCAGTGCTTAACGGACGAAGAACGGTCCAACATGAACTTTTGCGCCGTCGGGCACGCCTGTCCCAGGGCGGCTGGAAAATTTATACCCCACGGTGGCACGTCGAAGTGCAAACTTTCCAGCCGCCCCCGGACAGGCGTCCCCGATGGCGGAGCATAGTCTAGCTAATACCTCTCTTGGTCTTCGGAAGTGTTGGCCTCGGGCGAGAGAGAGAGAGAGAAAGAACAAACACACAAATCAGAGAGAGAGAGAGAGAGAGAGACGGAGAGAGAGCGACCGCCAGCGCGAGCGTCACCCGCGTCGAGGCTTCTGAAACTCCACCATCTTGACAACACCACGACAGTGGCTGGTTTCCACGATTCTGGGCGCCGTTCGCTGTGCTGCTGCCGTTCTCCCCCCCCTGTTTAAGCGCATCCCTGTCCACCTCCTCATCCGCCTCTTCCGTATCCGGCTCCCCCGTGGCGGGGATATCATGGGACTCTCTGGGTGCCGTCTTGCGGGTCTTTCGTCTTGTGGGCCGCCTTGCTGTGCTTGCGTGCCCAGGGGCCGCTTCTGGGGGGCCGCCTGACGCGCCTCTTGGGGTTAACCTGGGGGCCCATGGTCTGGGCCCGCTTCTGGGCCCTGGAGCGGCTGGCCGCCGGACGAGGGCCGCGGCCCCAGCCACGGCTTGCGTCCCGAGGCCCCGGCCGTCGGGCGTCCCGAGGTGGGCCCCGAGGACCCCCCTCAGGGTTGCGCCTGCTCTGGGGCGCGCGGGGCCTGCCCAGCCTTTCTCGTTCGGCTCTCTGGCGGTGGTGCATTGCGGGTAGCCGCTCCGCGCCGCCACATGCCGTTTCTGCTGGATTGTTGGTTCTTCCGCGCTCGAGGGCTCTGGGCCGCCCCGGAGCGAGTGGGCTCCATGGTGCTGTCAGGGCGAGCCTGGCGCTCGGCGGCGAGGGCCGCACCGCGAGTTTGCAGGACCCCCCTCCCCGGCCAAGACGGCGCCGATACTTGTCGGACGAGGGTCGGGGGCGATGGGCAAGCGGGGGCGTGACGCGCCTCCTCCTTGCTAATGCTTCGATCCTGCCTCATTCCGCGAGAGCCCATACGGGTGCTACTCACTCGTTTCTGTTCGGAGGCTGTGTGCTTCTGCAGCAAGAACACGCTGCAGGGTCGTCCGAGCGTGCTTCTCTGATAGTCCCGACAAATTCGATACGTTTGTTCAGATGATGTCCAGACGGTTCGGAGATTATGGAGGGTCACCGCTTCGTGTGTATTATGCACGGCGTCTTCAGCCTTGCTGCGGTCCATACAGTCAACCCGCATATTAAGGATGGGCAGCCTTCCCAAGGGTACCCTTGCATCCTTGCCTCTGCGGTCCATCCTTGGCCACGTTCGTTGGCCACGCTCCGCTCGAAGAGCTTCGAAATGGGCGTCCAAGGCCCTTGCATCCTTACCGCGCATCCTTATCATATGGGTCGACTGCACCACCGCGCGCTCCCGTTGGGACCCTCCCCACGTCAGGTCCTGCAGGGGAAGACGATGGTGTTCGTGAACCAGGCGGCCCGCGGAGACGTCTCAGAGAGCAGGTTGCTTCTGTCGCACCCCCGCGCCCAAGCGGGGCTGTCAGGGTCGCCTGCGACCCGATTCGATGGGATTCGCCGTATGGGGCCGCGATTCCGAATGCGCAGAAGCACGCGCACCCAGGAGAGTGGAAATGTGGCCAACAAAAACGATGTTAACATTCTAGCCGATACATGTGGATTTCAAATTGTCTTTTTTCTTTCTATCATGGACCATGTTTGTCCTCGCGCTTCATCGTCTGGCAATAGCAAAAACCGCATGTTTCCGCAATTGCGAAAGCATGCGCGCCCAAGATGGCGGAACTGTGGCCAACAAATCCTTTTCGGTTCGGTTCACCAACATCGGCCAGGGCCAGCCGGAGCTGGGCGCGGTGATCCGACTTCGATTCGATTCAGCGAATCGCTGGCGATCCGACCCGTTTCCGACGGGATCCGATTTCGCGATTCGATCCAGCTCGGGGACTCGGGGAGGGCTCCAAAGGGAGGATCCAGCTCGGGAGGGCTCCAAAGGGGTCTCAGGGAGGTTCGTGCCCGACGCTTTCCCCTTATCCCAGGGCCGTGCAAAGGCAGTCTGGCAGCAGAAGCGAACCGTCAAAGGGGCGTGCCTCGACACCCGCTTCTTGGAAGCTGGTCCCCCACCTATTCTGCCAGGCCGGGTAAGGGCACTCTAAGAGAAGAGTTGTTCCTCTCCCAGAAATCTTCGCAATTTCCGTCATTGAAAAATGCAGTGTTGCCTCGCTTTTTGCCTCTATCCCCTTGACTCCTGGGCGGGAGGCGCTCGTAGGAAAGAGTCAGGAGAGCATGGCCGACTACCAGCGGCATGTAATTTGTCGCACGGGGGGTGGCGCGGATCTTGCACCAAGGTGGGGTCGTTGCTGCCGTCCCTGCCGGTCCACCCAAGTTCCCAGGGCCGTGCTGCGAGTCTCGTGCCGAGAGTCTTCTTAGTCTACGAGGAGGCGGCGGAGGAGGGGGAGGAATGATATTCCTGACAGAGGTGGCTGCGATCGTGCACCGCATTGTGGACGAGCACCTGGGCGCAGCGAACAAGAACGCGGGACAGGCGTTCCTCATGGTCGGCTCCGTAGCCTCTACTGTGCTACCGTCGATGCCCAAATGGCGACGACGAGAGTATGCCTGGGGTCTTTCGGAAGGCCTCTTAGGGCCTTGGGGTCCTCTTGAGGCATCTTGGGGGCCACCTGGGGGCCTTCTGGGGACCCTTCGGGGGCCTCTGGGGGCCTCTTTGGAGCCTGAGGCGGTCTCGGGGGGCATCTTAAGCTTCAGTTTTCTTGAGTGCCTCTTGTGCCCCTTTTGGGGGCTTGTGGGCCCTCTTGGGGCGATCTTTGGGGGCTTGAGTGCCTCTTGTGCCCCTTTTGGGGCGAATCTGCAAAAAGCCAGTCAAAAGCACAATGTTTCAGTGGTCCCCCAGGACCGGCAGTGGCGGCGGCTAGAGGCTCGCATTGGGAGCTGCTCACAAATGGAGCCCGCCTACGGGACATGATGCCTGCGTGCGCTTCCCGCGCTCCTTGCAGCCTCTTTGCCTTGCGCTGTCGCCGTGGTGTTAAGCTGCGTCTATGTGTACGTGTGTGCATACTATGTGAGCTGGCCCGGACCGCTTGCCCTTCTCTCTCTCTCTCTCGTTAGGGTTGCCCTATACGCCGCGCCGCCGCGCGCGTGGCCGCGACGCCAAGAGGGGTATGTATACATGCGTGTGTGTGTGTGTGTGTGTGTGTGTGCGTGTGTGCGCGCGTGCATTCGCCGCCCTTGCTGCCGTCTCTCCTGGTCTGTTATTCTGCTTTGTTAGTCGCCGGCCCGGTTTTTACCTTTCCGCCGGTTGTTGCCGCTGCGTTGCTGCGCACACAGCCGCCGAGGGGAGCAAGTTTGTGTGCGTGTGTGCGTGCGTGCGTGCGTGCATGCGTGCGTGTGTGTGTGTGTCCCCACCTGCAACATTTGGTGGAATTCACGATAGTTTGCGCTCCCCCTCCTGTCACTCGCCAGGGTGACGTCCTCTGGCCGGCGGAGGAGATATTTTGTTGTTGTTGTTGTTGTTGTTGTTGGTGTTGTTGTTGTTGTTTTTGTTGTTGTTGTTGTTGTTGTTGTTGTTGTTGCCGTTGTTGTTGTTGTTGTTGTTGCTGTTGTTGTTGTTGTTGTTGTTGAACATTATTTATTCTAAAGAATAATTATTGTTGGGCCCCCTGGTGCACGCCCCCCCTGCGCCGCCTAGGCCGCAGCTACATTTTCACCATTTTCGTGAGGAAGCCTCAGGTAAAACGATGTGATCCAGATCCGGTTGTTTTGTTGTAATCCGTTTTCCCTTGCAAAAAACACTATAAAATGACATTTCTTGTTCTAATATAATCAAATTTCAAGAATCCCTTGCAAAAAATAAGGTAAAGTGGACATTCGCGCGCGCAAGACGAAATCCTTCCAAAAGCTTAGTGTTCGGAGCGATTTTAACATAAAAACATCAAAAAACCAATGGTTTTTCAACAAAAAAATGTCAAAATCTCATCCCGCGCGCTCTTGCGGATTCGTAGGAAACCCAACACTTTTTAAACATTTCTGTCAAACGGGCTTTTGCGAGCAACTTTTTCGAACTTCTGCGACAACGGTTGCGCACCTGCCAGGGCCATCATCCCTGTCAAATAATACCATGCGGGACACATTCGTTTTTTCTTCGCGCGCGCACGCCGTCGTCGTCGGCCGCGGGGCCCTGAATAGTAGCCACGGTCGTCCGCATGCCACGAAGTGAAGTGTCCGAACGTCATAGGGCGGGAAGCTGGGTGTGGGTGGTGGCGAAGAGTCGTTTGGAAATTTGGTAGAGCTTGAACCGGCCCCCCCACAAAGTGGGGGTATTGCCCGCCTCCTATGAAAACCCTGGCACTGGTGAGAACGGAGTGTCCCCAGTCTTAAATGATTGTTGTTGTTGTTGTTGTTGTTGTTGTGTGTGTGTGTGTGTGTGCGTGTGTGTGTGTGTGTGTGTGTGTGTGTGTGTGTGCTGTGCCTGCCCCTCCACGGCGGCTCTCCCCCGAGAGGAGTGCGCGGAGCTCGGCTCGCGCCTCTGAGCTTGTTTGCGCCCATCGGGGCCCGCCGTTCTCTCGCAATGCGGCTCCGCGCTGGCTTCGCAGCGGCACCGCTCGGTTTGCGCTGACTGGGGTCTGAGGGGGCCTAGCATTGTTTGTTTTGTAAACGCATATAAACAACAAAGATGCCCCCCCTTTTTCTGCCTCTGGGGGTCCGTTTTCGGGCCCTGGGACAGTGAAACATTGATCCTGGGCGGATTTGGCTCCATCTCGCGTCCTGACCGATTTTTTGGGGTCCCAGCCAGTTCAGACCCCTCGGCCGCCTCCGACCCCTCACTTGGTGACTCACCGCGCCGCGGACGTTGACGACTCACTGGGCCGCGGACGTTGGAGTGTGTGCGCAGTCGCCTCGCCTCCAGCTGGGGTAGGCGTCGTGTGACCGCTCGGATGCAAAGCGACGGGCTGCCGAGCTAAAACGTACGTGTGTGTGTAGGGTGTCTTTCACCTCGTTTGGTGCTTGCATGAAGATCTGGCTCGCGCCCGGTCCCGTCTGCCCGACTTAGCCGTGTCGCTGAGCGTGCGGCCGCGTCGCCAAAGAAAACGTGTGCGTGAGTAGATGCCGGCCCTCTGTCCTCCGCTCCTCTCTTCTCCTTCTCTGGCCCTGCGTTCTCGTTCTGGCATGCCCGGCTTCGCTTCTCCCGCGCCGCCTGACCCCTGCGGCCCCTCGATCGACACTGCTAGACTTCCACTGAGGCTTTCAGCTCTATGCGCGCGCCCGCGTGAGGTGGATAATCTGCTTCGACCGCATCCCAGCCTGGTAGTTCTTCAGCCAGTGGATGCACTTCATCGCCGTGTCGGGGGAACAAGTGTGTGCGTGCGTGTGCGTTTGTGTGTGTGTGTGTGTGTGTACTTGCTACGTTTTGACGCTGCGCGCGAGGCCGCGGCGCCAAGAAGTAAGTGTGTATGTGTATGTGCATGTGTGCGTATGCGTGTGTACCCCCCTGAACCGCTGGCTTCGAATTGGGCGCGAATGGTTCTGTGGCAATGAGCACCAGACTGCTCGCGCATCAGTTCACATTGAGTTTAGCTCGCTCGGACGTGCTCCTCGGTTTTCTGGCCGCTGCACGCTCGTGGGTTACAGTCCTTCCCACCTACCACCCACCACCCATTCCTGCACGTTAGTGTTTGACGGTTCTTCTACGGCGTTTTAGATATGCTCGATCGCAATGAGCACTTCCGTCTGCCGCCCGCCACTGAGAACCCTCTGCGCCGCTGACTGAAGTGTGTGTGTGTGTGTGAGTGTGTGTGTGTGTGTGTGTGTGTGTGTGTGTTCGCATGTGGTGCTCCCCCACTGGCCGCCCAGTCTGGCTGGGCTGCTGCCCCCCCCCCCCGCTGCAGCTCAGTGCCGCCGCTGGTCCCCCCCCTACGGCGCTTCCCCTGCCGCAGCCATGGACTTGCATGAGTGGGCCCGGCTTCCTCTCCCTGTCGCGCCAGGGCTCTGGACTGGACTAGACAATAAGGGTGTAGAGTCATGACACCCATGCAACTTAAAAGGTGAGATTAAAGGTGGGGCAACGATTCAGGGCAGAGGCACACAGGAGCTGCGACCACAGTGCAGCACGCTCATGACTCCGCCAGCCCAGCGGGCTCGTCCGTACGTGGGTCGCACACCGCGCACGGTGTCCCCAACTCGAGAGGAAGCGCCGTAGTGGGTGGGGTTTCCAGCGGCAGTCGAGTCGGCGCCTGAAAGGCGGTGGCCACAATCGCCGTCACAAGGGAGGCAGCAGCGGCCGTGGCAAGAGTGGGGGGGAATCAAAACGCGGGCAGCCCCAGGCACAGTCACCCCTCACAGCGAGTGGAACGGCGCCTTGATCAGCACGGGCGGCGAGTCCAGGGACGTGGACGCACATAAGGCGGACTCTCCTGCCTTCACTCCCCGTCCAGTCCTGGGGGGGGGCACACATCAACTCCTGGCTGCCCGCTCAATCGCGCAATCCAAGGGAGCCCCCAACCAGAGACATGTCCCGCAACAGAGGGGGTCGGGTGAGCCCAAATCCCAGGGATCCCCAGCTTCCATCCCCTAAGGAGCACCACCGCCACCGCCATGAGGGTGGCATTATCTCGAACCGCATCCGCGTGCGTCTTATCCCCCAAGGTGGGGAGGCCGACCGGATGGTTTTGATCTCTCAGCGAGGCGCGGTTGCCAGAGACATGGTGGGGCCAAAAGGAACGAAGGTAGGGGGGGCAAAAGATAGCGGCTACCTGACCCTGCTGGCACGCCGAGGCCCAGTGGGCGGGCTGGTCAGCCCAGCGGGGGGGGGGTCAATCACCACGTGGGTGACCGCGACCTGAAACGGGGTCATATCAATAGCAGGCCTCCAAGCCTGCACACAAGCACAGCAACATTCATCAGGACTTATGAGGAGGAGGAGGTGTCGAACATTCGCCGCAGGCAGCCTCGGGAGAACCAAAGGCGGGGGTTCCCAAATCGGGGCAGGAGCGGGGACCAAGGGCACCACAGCCACGGGTGGTGGCGGTGGGCCGAGCCACAGGGAGCACACGGGGGGTCCAATCATCCTGAACGGGGCGCGGCTGGCATGATTATCAGGCAGGCCTTTCGCGCGATTGTCACGCTGAGCAGCCTGGGCCTCTAAGCGCGCAGTGTCGCGCTCTTCCTGGGAGGGGGGGGGGGCGGTCACGGTGACGGAGAGCAAGGAAGCAGCGCTTGGCCGCGCACAAATGTTTGGCCAGGCGGGCAGGGTTTCCAACATTGCGGACGTACACCTGACAAACTCCCCCCACCGCAAAGTCGGAGGGCGTCGCGCCCGACATGTGGTGCTTGGTGATCTGCCCTCCCATGAGCGCAGCAGTAGCGGCAACATGACCGCAGTCGGAGCACGCGAAGCTTGCGGGGGGCGGGGCAGGCGGGGGGGGGGGGGCAAGCGGCGACCCTTGGGAGGCCTGTCTGGCAATCAGGTCGCACTTTCTGGCGTCGTGCCTGGCGAGCATGCTTTTCTGGGCCCATTCGACAACACGTTGGAGCAGGCCACGATGCGTTTGCTGGCACGACCGAGCAAACCTGACCCGCCGCATCAGACAGGATCCGTCGGAGGCAGGTCGTTCCGAGGGGAGAAGTAAGCTCTCGGCCCACAGGCAACTCGCAAGGAGGATGGATCCCCAGCTCTTGGGGTACAAGAGCTCAACATCCAAAAGGGTCCCGAGGGAGGGAGGGGAGTGCGCCAGCAGGCGAGCCAAGTATCGCAGACGACACATGTACAACACCTCATCCACGTCCAATCTTTTGGCACGAGCCATCACATCCTGGTAGGACAAGTGTTCGTCCTGGGCATTATTACGGAAGGGGAGACGCATCGCACTAAGGTAAATGGCCTCGTGGGCCCTGGGCCATTCTCACTCTGGTGTGCTGCTGGCACGTAAGCACTGGCCAAGTGGCCGCCGAGTACAAAAGACGAGAGGCACCTAGCGCCTCGGCATAGGTGACCTTCCTGGGGAGGGGCAGGGCAGCACGGGGCGCGATCACCTTGCGGACAGGACTCAACGCGCCGTTCGCCGAGGTGCAGCGACGAGTTATCTCAGCACCGATGCTGTCAGAGTCTTGCATCATGACCCCCAGACACTTCTGAGTGCGGACCACCTCCAGATCAAAGCCAACGTTTTGACGTGGATGGTGGGGAGGGTGGCGCCCATGATGGCGCGCGCAGCCTGAGCGACATGCCCCCCCCGAAAGCAGAGCATGACCTGAGTCTTGGCAGCATTCGGCTGCAGGCCTCTCTTTTAGCAAGCCTCAACCACAATCTCCGCAATCTTTTCCATGGAGGTAATTGGGGGCGGTCCGACGTCGGTGATGAGACCTGTGGTGAGATCATCAACAAAGGAAACCGACGCATGCGGGGCAGCGAGATCGGAGGGGCAGGCAAAGCACGGGGGGGCTTGGGGCGGGGTCCACAGAAGGTCGACATCACGCGCCCCCCGCTCAACTTCTGCCTGCACTCCTGAGAACACAGCATTGTAGATATCCGAAGCCATGATCGTCCCTGGTCTCGTGCCCGTGGCGGGTATCGCCATCTGGGCAGCCCCTGGAAGGGTCCAGAAGGCCCCCCTCTGGGATTCACGCACAAGAGCAGCCACATCAGGGATATCCAACACATCATCGAGAGCGCCGCCGTTTTGCAACCGAGCACGCAGGCTGCTCAAGAGGAGCTCTGGCAATTCAATGGTGTCGAGGACGTCAGATAAGAGGTCCTCTTCTCAAGGGAACTGGATGGCAATCTGGCGGACGGTCCTGTAAAAGGCAGTCACCAGATCCAAGAACAAGAAACCCGAACTCTTGTTACAACGTGCGGCCACCGAGTACACCAATCGCACAAACTGGATGGGGCCATCGCAAGACCTCCCCAGGAGCCCTCCACACTGGACGTCCAGCATGACCTGGTGGAACGAGTTCCAAGCACAACGCCTGACATGTCGGTGGAAGAGCTTGCCAATCACATTGGCCTTGCGGGTGCTACGTTGGCTCTCGCGCGCGCTTATGGCACCCTTCCCCTTCTAAAAATAAGCTATGTGGCCCGACTTCTTTGTCCGCTAAAGCCGTTTTGGTATAGAGGGGCAGGAGGATCTGGGCCATCTGGGAGGGGGGCACACGTCCAAGATCGGCCTGGATGCCGTCGGGGCCCGCCGCACGGTGGGCAGGGGCAGAACGCAAATCCCTTTCAAGCTGGTAACGCGTGAGCCAGAGGTCCCCCGGGAAGGCACAGGGCAAAACGGCGACATCGGAATCCAGGGCCTCCTCGGCATCCAGGTCAGGGAGCCCACCCTCCTCAGGCGGGTAAAAATCAACAGGGGTGCCCTGGGCAGCGGGGAGGTCACTCAAAGAAGGGGAGGGGTCATCCACCTCAGGGGCGGCAATGAGCGGGGCCGACTGCTCGGCCTCGGGGGGGCCGCCCTTGGGGGTCACGAGCAGGGGATCGAATTTGGAGACGGGGGGCGAATCATTGTAGTGCTGGAATTACGTAGTGGGTGCTGCATAGTTTGGCACGCTCCACTGTGGCGAAGTGGTCCTGCATAAAGTCGGCCACGCGCTCCGTCGTTGGAAGTGCCTGTCCAGACGCATCATACATGAGAGGCTCGACAATCGGACATCGAGCGGGCCTCCCCCCAAACTTGAGGAGGACATTAACCTCCCTCCGTTCGGAGAAAGATTGGTTCCCATCAGTGGTGGTCCTGATGGCACTGGCTTTGCCATCTAAGAAGGCCGTTTTGTCTTGTTCAACGAGCTCCCGCACAAGGTTTTCAGACAAACACAGGAAGTGGACCAGGGCCGAAAACGCAGGAAAGAACTGGACCCTCTGGAACCTGAAACCTTGGAGCTGGCCCCGTAGCTGCCTCGTGCATCGCGGCTTTAATTTGCATGCAGTGTGTCTCCTGTTGCATGTTCGCCGGCGCAGTCACCCTCTGCCCAGCCGCCGACGCAAGAGTGTGTATGTGTGTGTGTGTGTGTGTGTGCGTGTGCGTGTGCGTGTGCGTGTGCGTGTGCGTGTGCGTGTGTGTGTGTGTGTGTGTGTGTGTGTGTGTGTGTGTGTGCGTGTATGTGCTTCGGTGCCTTTTCTCGCTTATCTCCCCTTTTATCGTGAGCGTTCGCCTCTTCTTCCAGCGGCCATATCTCAGGATCTCCCTGGGCCTAGTGGCTTTACCTGGCGGGCAGGGGCAGTCCTGACTGACATTCTGCTGCTGCTCCTCCTCGCTCCCCGCGTAGTGAGGGTACGGCCAGCGGACTTCTCTGGAGTGCCTGGGCCAGAGCTTCACTCCCTCGGATTATGGCGCTCCCCCGTTTGATCGGGGGTTCGTAGAGGTGAGGTTGGCCCAAGCTGGGGTCAGGGACCGAACCCAGCAGGAGGCCGCCTAAGACCGCCAGGAGACCGCCGGAGACCGCCGAAGATCGCCCAAGGCCGATGGGCAACAAGGGGTCCAGGGAGATTTTCTTGTAATCCGCCCTCTGATCCTACCCTCCTTCACTCCGGAGGGACAGAAACACACAGACACAATTCGCCGATTCCCAGGAACACAGGGGAAATTATGGGCAGTGGAGGGGGAGACGAAATCCATAAAATATGGGGAAATATCTGGAATCCTGGCATTTGTATGGATTCATTTGTGTGTTCCTGGGCTCCTCCTTCACGACTCCCCGATTTGAGCGGGCACCGCCCAGGTCTGGCGCCTGGAGCAGCACCTGCCGACGGGCGGGACCGATGGCCCCGGCTCCGCTTCCTCGAGGGAGAGGATCTCCGACCTCGCTGTGATGTCTTTCGTCAGGCCGGCGCTTCCACCTGGGGAAGGGCCGCAAGGGAGACAGAGCTGATATCGCACCTCGCTCGACTAAGCGTGAGAGTAACCCTTGGCTGGAGAGACCTTTGCTGCGTCGGGCCGCAGGCATCCTCCTGAATGCGATGCAATAGTAGCGGCTTGTTTTCTTTTGTCTAGGGTTACTCCTGTGTGTAGCTGACTCGTGGTGGCGTCTCCTGCCGGGCTGATGCGGTCGCGGGGGAGGGGGAAGACGCAGCCGTGACGGTATGGAGTGGCAGAGGGGATGTGAGCACGCCGGCCTTGCCTCTGGGCACTCAAAGTCTGTAGGGCCCTTCCTGTCTCGACATGGGGGGTGAGCCCTGATGTTTGCTGGCGTGCGCCCTGGCCGCGAGCCCGTCCAGTGCAGTGGCCAATGTGTCCCAGCGCTCCGCTCCATGCCGCATGGCCCGACCCCTCGTGGCTCCTGGCGCACGGATGTGCCCAAGGCGCCGTGTCCGAGTGATAGCGTAGGGAAGACACCAGGCAGGGCGGGACGGCCGCCGTGCCGCTGGGGCACGACCCTCGCATCTCTATCTCCGGTCCTCGATTTTCGTTCGCATCGTGGACAGGCAGCTGGCCCCCGATCCTCTCACGTCGACTCCCGACGGCGGCGGCGGCGACAACGAGCGCACGCACGGCCCCTGCCCAGGTGCAGGTCCGAGCGTCCGGGGCACTGCTCTCACCCTGGGGGGGGGGCAGGTGCACCGCGGGGGACGCACCGCGCCCAGCGCCCATCGGCGCAGCACAAACGGCACAAGCAGAAGCTCGCGGAGGTCCGCGCGGATCTCTGGGGTCGTCGCTGGGCCCCCCCCCGCGCGCGGGGAGGGTGGGGTCCGCGTCCGTCTGGCCAGGGCACAGGCGGCAGCAGCACGGCCACGTTGCCCGCTGCAGCCCAGGCGCTGCGCTTCCTGGTGGCTTCCAGCGCGTGCCTCCCCTTCGCGGGCGGTGCCTCGCTCCTTCCATCCCCGATCCCCCTGCAAAGTAGTTGTCGTTCAGGAAGGAAGGGGAAGTCGGGGACCCCCAGGGGGCTATTCGGGCGTACTCTTATGGAGCTTGGACGCCTCCCCTCGTATACCCCCGAGGTGCGCCGCCGGCCGAAGCCTCACACAGTCGGGGATTGGGGTCGCCGTGTCTTCCGTCTTGGACGTCCGACGATACGATTTCCCAACCCTCGTGTGTTGGGTCCTCGTTTTGAACTCAGCACTGCGGTCGCGTCTACAATTGCACATACTACTCTCTCCCCTGATGACGTCCAGAAGATTTCTGGCCCCCCTCCGCGTACTGATTTTGACACTGGATTCCTGGGAGTTGGGTTTTCGCTTGTTTTTTTGTGAGCATGTTGCTCCCACTGAAGCGCTAGCATCATTTTCGGGCTTCCGCTCGTTCCGAATCGTGCTCCCGCTGCAGCGCTAGCATCATTTCCGCGCCTCGCTCGTTCCGAATCGTGCTACCGCTGCAGCGCTGGTGTCATTATCCGTAAGGGCTTCGCCCCCTGCCGCCGGCCCCCTCTCTCGGAAAATGGGCCATGGAAGAGCTAAGTCATGAGGCCTTGGCGCTGTCGTGAAGCAGTATCGAAACTTCATGCGAAGCCGATTCGCAATCAGCAAAACCAACTGATCACAAGAGGGGTTACCACACCTGGCGATTGGTAAGACGTGTATGGTTTACGGGCTTGGTTACCACACCTTGCGATTAAAGGGCCGAGGGAGTTCTCGCAGTTTGGGTTACCACGCCTTGCGATGGATGTGCGTGAAGGGTGGCACCGAATTTCAGAAATGTGCCAAATCCCCTATGTTTTTGGACCCTGACCCCGCGGATCTGCGTAAGGGGTGGCGCCGAATTTCAGAAATGTGGCAAATCCCTTGTGTTTTGGGACCCTGACCCCGCGGATCTGCGTGAGGGGTGGCACCGAATTTCAGAAATGTGGCAAATCCCCTGTGTTTTTGGACCCTGACCCCGCGGATCTGCGTGAGGGGTGGCACCGAATTTCAGAAATGTGGCAAATCCCCTGTGTTTTTGGACCCTGACCCCGCGGATCTGCGTGAGGGGTGGCACCGAATTTCAGAAATGTGGCAAATCCCATGTGTTTTTGGACCCTGACCCCGCGGATCTGCGTGAGGGGTGGCACCGAATTTCAGAAATGTGGCAAATCCCATGTGTTTTTGGACCCTGACCCCGCGGATCTGCGTGAGGGGTGGCACCGAATTTCAGAAATGTGGCAAATCCCCTGTGTTTTTGGACCCTGACCCCGCGGATCTGCGTGAGGGGTGGCACCGAATTTCAGAAATGTGGCAAATCCCATGTGTTTTTGGACCCTGACCCCGCGGATCTGCGTGAGGGGTGGCACCGAATTTCAGAAATGTGGCAAATCCCATGTGTTTTTGGACCCTGACCCCGCGGATCTGCGTGAGGGGTGTCGATTTCGAGCCCCCCCAGCAATTCAGACAACGCGCCCAGGAGACGCTAAAAGTCTGGTTTGGGCCTCCCCCCCCCGCGCGGTCAATCAACTAGTTACAGTAACCAGCAAGAAGCAGAACTGTAACACTGGAAACTACAAGCTACAACTGGTACAGGAAACTGCGAACCCGCGCCTACAGCCTGGTGGCCCCACAAGGGGGCCGGCGGATTTTCAGTGCCATGCCACGGCATGCAATGCAATGCTATGTGGTATTCTGTTGTGCGATGCCATACCTTCAATGCCAGGATATGCAGTGCTTGACTCTGCAGTGCCACGCCATGCTATGCCATGCTATGGTTTGATCTTCAACGCAGTGCTATGCCATGTTCTGTTATGTGCCGCTGTGCGATGCCATTACTTGTGTTGCAATGCTTTGGGATGCAATTCTTCACTACGCAACGCCACGCCATGGCATGACATAGTACGCTCTGCCGTGCTCTTCTACGCTCTGCTATGCCGTGCTCTACGACACATAGCGCACCCTCTCGGGATCATTGCCCTACTCGACATCCGACTGTGCGAATAGAGAGGCGTTCTACGCCATGGTAAAGGGGTGGGAGGAATGGGTAGGACGTCAGATATGACGCGAGCGCACCTAGCTTGCCTTCTCCTTCTTCATCCCCTCCTGCCTTCTCCTGCGCTGCTCCCTGGGTGGCTGCGAGCTGTGCAATTGTCGCCACTTTTGTGGGCTCCTGGGAGGCACGGCGAAGCAAGGGAGTAATCCAGCCGGGACCTGGCGGCTCCGTGGGTGGCTGCTACCTTCGTAACCGTCGCCACCTTCGTGGGCTCCTGTCGCAGGCCTAGAGGCTGACACCAACACCAATATCGGCGGTGTGCCTTCACCGAGGGAAGAAGATCCCGATCTCGGGGATGGTGGTAATATCCTGGCTTCCAAGGTGGCCGAAATATTACCACTAACACCGAAATCTAGGATCATCTTCCCCCTGTGGAGGCAACCCCTCTGTGTTGGTGTTGGTGCCCATTTCCAGGCCTCCAATCCTGGGAGGCACGGCGGAGTGGGGAAGTACGCGCATCCAGCCGAGACCTCGCGGCTCCCTGGGTGGCTGCCGACTGCGCAACTGGCGCCATTCTCGTGGACTCCCGGGAGGCACGGCGGAGTCGGGGAGTACGGGAGTATGCGAGTACGCGCATCCGGCCGAGACTTCGCGGCCTCCGAACTGCGCGATTCTCGCCACTTTCGTGGGCTCCTGGGGGGTCCAGCGGAGTCGAGGAGCACGCAGACGGACCCGAGACCTCGCGGCTCCTTGGGGGTTGCGCAGTGCGCACTTTTTGCCACTGTCGTGGGCTCTTGGGAGGTCCAGCGGAGCAGCGTGTCCTTTCACCGTGTTCTTTTGCTGTACAGAGGTTGGGAGGGGGCTGAGCACGTCTCGGATAATTTTTCTGTCTGCGTCCCCAGAGCTCCCGACCCCTTCTCCGGGGTCAATTTTTCGTCCTGCATCCCAGTAACGGACCCCTCAGGCCGAAATCGAGAAACAAACCGTCGGAGATCTGGGGCTGCTGCTGCGCTCCGTGGTCGCCCCCGTCCGCCGCAGGGTGGTCATGGAGCTGGCCCGGGACAGCTCGCTGGCCGAGTACCGGACACATCCGTGGCTGCTCGCAAAGCTGCCCAAGCCCCGCCCTCAGAGGACGCCGCGCGCGACGCCGACGACGACGTTGACGACGACGACGACGGCGACGGCGGCGACGATGGCGACGACGGCGGCGGCGGCGACGACGACGACGTACCCCGGCCCGAAACACGACGGAAGGTTTTCTTTTCAATGCTTTCGGCTTCTGGGTTTGTTGCCGCGGCCCTGGGACCGTCAACATAAGCAATATCATTATTGCTGAAGGGTTTGTCCCTGCTACTGCTACTCGTACTCATTACTATCGCTACTACTACGACTATAACTACTACTACTACTACTACTACTACTACTACTACTACTACTACTTCTACTACTACTACTACTACTACTACTACTACTACTACTACTACTACTACTACTACTACTACTACTACTACTACTACTACTACTACTACTAGTACTACTACTACTACTACTACTACTACTACTACTACTACTACTACTACTACTACTACTACTACTACTACTACTACTACTACTACTACTACTACTACTACTACTACTACTACTACTACTACTACTACTACTACTACTACTACTACTACTACTACTACTACTACTACTACTACTACTACTACTACTACTACTACTACTACTACTACTACTACTACTACTACTACTACTACTACTACTACTACTACTACTACTACTACTACTACTACTACTACTACTACTACTACTACTACTACTACTACTACTACTACAGCTACTACTACAAGTGTGACTACTCCTACTACTCCTGCCACTACTACAACAACTACGCCACTACGCCAGCGCAGACGACAGCACAGACACGGGCTCCCACGCTTGAGCCCATGCCTTCCCCGACGCCAACGCCTACACCAGCACCGGCGCCAGCACTGACACCAGCACCCACGCCGACGCCTGACCCGGCACCAATGCCGCCTACATCTGCATTCGACCCGCGGCCGAAAAAAACCCTGCTCCCAGCGTCTTATCCCACCCCATGGGATAACGAGTCCGCCACTCACCACTTCTATCCCCAGCTCCGACTCCCCAGCTCCGACGTGCAACTCCGACGCCAGCCCCACCGCGGGCGCCTACGTCAGCGCAGACGCCAGCACCGACACCAGCAACCACGTTTGTGCCTATGCCTTCACCGACGCCCACGCCTACACCAGCACCGACGCCAGCACCGACGCCAGCACCACCGCCATTGTCAACTTGTCTCCAAATCTATCCAACTGCTCCTGCACGTCAGTGTCCCCGGGAAGGCGAGTCAATGTCTGTCGTGTTTCTGACAAGCTGAATGGGAAATGGCGTGGGGAACTGTGCACTGCTGTCCCGGCCGCGTGGCCGATACAAGATGGACTGTCAATTTTTTCCTGCTACCTCGCGGGGGGGGGGGGAATTCGTTACGTTTCCCCCTCCCCGGCAGACTCGGCCCGTCCAGACCGTTACTCCGCAGAGCCGATGCAACACAGTGGCAGCGAATACCAATACAGAAATGTCCCAAACACTCCTGCACCGGCTCCGCAGGAGCTTCAAGACGCAACGAAAATGTCACGAATTTCAGTGCCAGGAGCCCACGACGGCGTACGCGTACGCCTACGACGGCACCATCGCCAGCGCCTACACAAGTACCGACGCCAGCACCGCCAGCACCAAGTGCGCGGTCACAAGAACCAGCGCCTTCACCAGCACCGACCCCAGCACCGACGCCAGCACCAGCATCATACGCCAGCGCCGACAACAGCACCTACGCCAGCATCAACTCCTGCACATACGCCAGCACCAACGCCAGCGCCTACACCAGCGCCGACGCCAGCACCGACGCCAGCACCAACGCCGGCGCCTACGCCGGCATCAATGCCGGCTCCTTCACCAGTACCGACGCCAACACCGACGCCAGCACTGACGCTGGCGCCTACGCCAACACTAACGCCATCACCGACGCCAGATTCAACGATTGCGCCTACGCCGGCTCCAGCGCCTGTGCCTGCACCAGCACCGACGCCAACACTGACGCAAGCACAAACGCTTGCGCCTGTGCCAGCTCCAACGCCAGCACCTACACCAGCACCGAGGCTAGCAATGACGCCCGCACCAACGCCGGCGCCTACGCCAGCGCCGACGCCAGCACCGACGCCAGCATGAACGACGGAGCCTACGCCGGCACCAACGCAAGCGCTTCCACCAGCGCCGACGCCAGCACCGTCGCCAGCACTAACGCCGGCGCCTACGTTGGCACCAACGCCAGCGCCTACTCCAGCACCGATGCCAGCACAGACTCCACCACCATAGCGGGCGCCTGCGCCGGCACCGACGCCATCGCCGACGCCAGCATCAACGCCTCGCCTCTGCCGGCACCAACGCCGACGCCTACGCCAGCGCCGACGTCGGCACCAATGCCAGCACCAACGCCGGCGTCTACGCCGGCACCAACGCCAGCGCCTACACCAGCACCGACGCCACTACCGACGCCTGCATGAACACTGGCGCCTACGCTAGCGCCGACGCCAGCACCGACGCCAGCACCGACGCCAGCACCTACGCCGGCACCAACGCCAGCGCCTATACCTGCGCCGACGCCAGCACCGACGCCAGCACCAACGTGGCGCCTACGCCAGCTCCCACTCATGTTCCGACTCCACCCCCGACGCCGGCTCCGACTCCAGCTCCGACACTGCCGTCACTCACAACCACGGCGGCTCCGACTCCAGCTGAAGCACCCGTTTCGCCCGCTTTGCCAACACCTGCTCCGACACCAATTCCGACGCCAGCACCGCTTCTGTCACCAGCTCCGACCCCACTGCCGCCGCCCATTACATCTCCAACCCCATATCCGACTTCTGTTCCGGCTACCAATTCCGTTCCTACCCCAATCACGACTCGGGTTTCTGATTCTGATATCAAGCCCACGTCTAGGGAGGCGACCGTTTAGATTGCCACGACGATCCCGCCGGCATCGACTCCAGCTCCAACCCCGGCGTACTCGCCACACGACCGGAACAACGACAGGCGAGCTTTTCCACCTCCCAGGTCGTGATCTGGAACACCACCGCAAAAAGCATTGCGTCTACATCTCCATCTGAACAGCCTTATGCATGCCGCGAGGGCCTGGCGAGGAGTTTCATGGGCGGCCAGCGCTCTTCGCCTTCCCCTTGTTTCTTCTCTGCTCCCAGTTTTGCCCTCCTTCCGTAGTTTTTTCAGGCCGCCCAACACACAGGTGTTCGCGCCCTGTTGGTCCCGCCCCTGCTCGGCAGGGTTCGGGCCGGCATTGCCACGCACACCCTGCAGCAACCAACGCAAATTCCTGGACTGTGTCTTCCCTGCTCGCCTTGTCCTGCTCCTCCCCGTCCTCCCCTCCTTCCTCCCCCTTTGTTTCGCTCGTGCTCGCGAAGGTAATTGTGCGGGTGCCGTCTACCTGGGTCGGCCTACGCACGCGCGAGTTTTTGTCAGGGCGTGTTCTCCCTCGTCCTCCTCGTCCTCCTCCTCCGCCCCCTCCTCTTCACCCTCCTTCCTGCACTGTGTTAGATTTATTCGCATGGCCGTTTGGGCCACCGTATAGGGGTACAACGCAATGTCCGCGCGGCCGCGGGACCGATACGCCTCCACGGGAATTCGTATCATTGGCTTCCTCTTCTCCTGCCCGTTCGTCCTCCGCTTCCTCCTGCCATTCGTAGTTATGTGGTTTTTAAGTTTACGTGGTCGTTCATGGAGTTTGAACCAGTGTGACCGACCAAACCGTATGTATGTTCCCGGGACGCCAGAAATTCGCCCAGTGCTTCTGAGCGCCGGGGTCGAAACTGTGTACAGTATTCGCTGCGTTGATGGAAAACAACTACTTCTACTACTAACACTACTACTGCGACTACTACTACTACTACTACCACTACTACTACTACTACTACTACTACTATTACTACTACTACTACTACTACGACTACTACTACTACTACTACTACTAGTAGTAGTAGTAGTAGTAGTAGTAGTGGTAGTGGTAGTAGTAGTAGTAGTAGTAGTAGTAGTACTACTACTACCACTACTACTACTACTACTACTACTACTACTACTACGACTCTACTACAACTACTACTACTACGTACTTTTCATACCACTACTACTACTACTACTACTACTACTACTACTACTACTAGTACTACTACTACTACTACTACTACTACTACTACTGCGACTACTACTGCTACTACTACTACAACTACTACGACAAGTATTACTACTCCTACTACTCATACCACTACTACTACTACTACTACTACTACTACTACTACCACGACTCCACTACCACTACAACTACCACTACTAGTATGACTACTCGTACTACTCATGCCACTGCTACTACTACTACTACTACTACTACCACTGCTACAACTAGCGCTACTACTACTACTACTATTATTATTAATACTACTACTACTACTACGACGACGATGACGACGACGACGACGACGACGACGACTACTACTACTACTACTACGAGTACTACCGTTAGTACTGATACAACAGCAACTACTACTACGACTACTACTACTACTACTACTACTACCACTATTACTACTACTTCTACCACTACTACTACTACTACTACTACTACGACGACGACGACTACTACTACTTCTACTACTACGACTACTACTACTACTACTACTACTACTCCTACCACCGTTACTAGTGCTGCTGCTGCTGCTACTACTACTACTGCTGCTGTTACTACTACTACTATTACCGCCACAACTACTACTACTACTACTACTACTACTACTACTACTACTTCTACTACTACTACTACTACTACTACTACTAGTTTTACCACTACCACTACTACTACGACGACGACGATGACGACGACGACGGCGACGACGACGACGACGACGACGATGACGACGACGACGACGAGTACTACTACGAGTATTATTACTACTACTACTACTACTACTACTACTACTAGTAATAGGGCTAAACGTAGTCTGTGTTACCAGGGTTGATTTAAAGGTGCA